CGTTGCAGATTTCTGATAATATACAATAGCCAAACAGGCTTCAATTTTATTGTGAACGTGGCAACAATTATTTTTCATTTGAAAAGTATTTACGACATCTTATCTTGTTTCATGAAAATCAGCCTCTTTTACGTTAGATGTGTTTCAAGTGCATGCAAGCAAACTTTCAAAAGTGCTGATAGTCTAAAAAAACATGTTCAACAAAAGCACAGTAGCTTATTAAGAAGCTGGTTTAATGATAATGAAAGTGATCAGGGAGTAGAAATAATAGATATGATAACATTACCGATTCATCTGAAATAACCGAAGTATCAAATGATCAAAATAATGAAAAATTAGATCAAGATTTTAAATGTAAAAATATTACTGATATGCTTAACACTTTGGAAAAACATTTTGCATTTCTTCTTTTGCGACTCAGAGAAGTACACATACTTCCAGCTTCTGTTCATGCAGAAATTGCATAAGATATACAAAACCTACTTTGGATTACACTAAGTAGTTTTAAGGATGTTATATGTCGTTGTTTATTTACAAATAGTATTTAACCACTGGACAATGATTGGGCACATATAACAGACAAAGAAAGATTGCTGCAATTCCTGGATGAGATGTCTTCAAATGGAAATAAACTAATAGGATTATTGAAAAGCAAAAATATAATTGCAGTGCCTAGACAAATACATTTTAGGATAAATAATATAATTGCTGTTTTTCAATACATTCCAATTCTGGAAGTTTTATCAAAATTAGTCTCCCATGAAGATTTTACAATTGTTTGGGTGACAGTTACAATCAGTCTCTTTCTAATAATGATTTTATGATGTCTTTTTGTGACAGTGAACTTTTTCAACTTTGACAATTTTTTTCCTGAAAATCCAAGTGCATTGCAGATTCAGTTATATGTAGATGAAGTTGAGCTTTGCAATCCAGTAGGAACTATGTGAGGGAAACATAAAGTGACTGCATTTTATTTTTTGTTAGGCAATATTCCATCTGAGTTTTGTTCAAAGCAAAACTTTATTCATTTGGCTTTAATGATTGAACATAAATTTAAAAAAATGGCCAAATATGATTACACTGAAGTTCTTCGTCCATTAATTTATGATTTAAATGTACTGCAGAGAGAAGGAATTGAGGTTTCCGTCAATGGATTACGTCAACATTTAAAAGACAAACTTACAGGTATATCGGATGATATGCTCTCAGCTTATGCTGTAGGAAGATTTCAGCAGTATTTCCATACTGGAAGAATTTGTCGTTTCTGCATGGTGGACAAGTCAGAAATCGGAAATAACTTTAGTGAAAGCACTCTTCGTCTCAGAACACCAGAAATTTATGAATACCACTTAGCTGCTATAACTGATAATGCAGCAAACAAGAATGTGTATGATGTTAGCGAAAAGTGTGACTTTTTAGAGTTAAAAAACATTGATGTACTTACAGCTTTCCCTCCAGATATAATGCATGATTTATTAGAAGGCATTATGCCAGTAACTTTGAAATGTATTATCAAACATTTGTTACGCTCTTGTAATACATTATCAGTAAATAATATAAACAATTCTATAAACAAAATTCATTTAATTAATTCACCTAATCGCCCTTGCCAATTACCTAGAAACATTGCATTAGATAAAGCACACATAAATGGAACAGCTGTACAGATATTAGAACTTTTCCTATTGTTTCCACAGTTAGTTGGTAACGATGTACCCCAGGGAAATATTGGCTGGGAGGTTTATCTTATACTTTGTGATATATGTGACATAGTTATTGCCCCAGTTGTAGACAGTGACAGTATATTCATGAAGAACTAGTTGCTATGTTTTTGAAAACATTTTCTGAAGTATTTGGTTCTGAATATTTTATTCCAAAATGCACACGCTTGTTCATTACCCTCGTCTGATACATCTTTTTGGGCCTTTACAAAATTTTTGGTGTTTACAATTTGAATCTAAACATCAGTATTTTAAAAAAGCTGCCTCAAATGGATGATGTTTCAAGAATATTACCAAAACGTTATCAAAGCGTCATCAAATGTTGCAGTGCTGGGAAATGCTGACTGATGATATGCTTTTATCTAATTATACTGTGTTTGGAAACGCACCTAAATTTTTTCATAACTTGGATGTTAAAGTACAAGAAGCTATAAGATTGTTACTTAATTTAGATATTGAAGCGAATGAATCCATAGTTATAGCGAAATCAATATCAGTTAATAGTATTTGCTATTCTATTAAAGCAGTGTATGTGTTGCATACTTATATAACATTTATTTATTGTATATAAAACTAATATATTTATTATATACACTGTTAAAAAAATATCGCGTTTTTTACGGAAATTTCCGGCGGCAGATTTTCCAGAAAGTTTCCGTTGTTTTACGGAAAAATAAAGTGTTGAAGGAAATTTTTGTATAAATTACGGAAAATATCTATCATTGTAATAACAGATATTTCCGTATTTAAACGGATATTTCCGTTAACATGTGACTGATTTTTCTGTAAAATACACTGATCTCTATAATAACTGGATAGCGCATCTCCTAATAAAATTTCGAAATTTTTGAAGCCAAAAGACGCCATATTGGAAAGCCCCAGAATTTATAAATCCGTAGTTGCGTTAAACTTATATGCGGATTTCGCTTCATAAATAAAAAATGCAAAAACCTTATAAATGCATTGATTATTAAAAACCGAGTAAATCTGATGTTATATGTTCAGATTATTTCATGGAGAGTGACATAAATATATATATATATATATATATATATATATATATATATATATATATATATATATATATATATATATATATATATATATATATATATATATATATATATATATATATATATATATATATATATATATATATATATATAAATTATGTATACAGGGTGGCCAGCCACTTTCAAGAATTAAATTCCCTGACTTTTTATATTTTTCCCTGACTCAGTTATATTTTGAAGTGTGAATTTTTAAGTTTTGTTGTTTGGGAGTAAGTAAAAAAAAAACCTTTAAAAAAAATTAAATTAGACATTTTTCCCTGATTTTCCTGACTAGAAAAATATTCCCTGACTTTTCCATGATTTCCAGTTAGCTGGCCACCCTGGTATAATATTATTATAATAGCATGCAAGTGTATATTAGTATGCACCTTTTGATTCTTAATTGCCCTCTGCAAAATGCCTGAGGCTTGTAACATATTTGCAAGGTAAACAGCTTACAAGTTTGCTGTATGAATCATTAGTTAGGCAATGTGATTGTAACACAACCTAAAGGTTCCTTAGGCAACATATAGCAAATCTTTATATTTACTTTTAATAATTTTGTTCTTGCGTGTATATATATATATGTATATATATATATATATATATATATATATATATATATATATATATATATATATATATATATATATATATATATATATATATATATTTAACTTAACGCTTAACTGTCGAAAAAGACTTTCAAGACATTTTTATAAATGCCATTAGACATTTTCACAACACCAGAACATTTGTATAAGATATTCCAATTACAAAAGAATATGTTAAAGTAAAAAAATATAAATAAAATAATAGTTAGCTCTATCATCTTGAACAAAATAATCATTGAATAACTTGTATAAGCATTGAATAACAAAATAAACATTGAATAAAAAGGTATTATGTGGTAGGTAAAAGTAAAAAAGTATGTACACTTGGAAAAAAATTGCTCACCTTTCATTTTGGTCTTTTATGTTGCTTATTTGTTTTCACAAGAGATATTTTAAATATTTATTAATTATAAAACTAATATTTATCAGTATAAAACTGATAGATGTTAGCTGAATCATTATTATTTTACTTTAGAGTCAATAGTTGTAAAAAAACTTGAAAGAAACCATGTCTGTTTTCATTTATACCATATTTACATATAAACAATCAACATGTATGTGATGCTGTTATTTAGTCTAAAACACTAAATACTTTAATGTAAAACTGCAAATAACTAGTTATCACCAAATATCCAGTGTTTTTTAAAGTTAGAGATGGCTTTTTCAAACCTTCACAAAGTGTAATTAAAGTTAGCAAAGCAACAGAACAAAACATTGTTATTAAGTGATATCAATTTTAATAAAGTATTAGATAGTTGATGATATTTCAGTTGTGGAACAATATAAACATGCCCTCAGAGTTTCAAAAATTAGAAAACCATTTACAAAAATGTTTGATACAATGTTTTTATCATGTTTTATACTTGTAAAGTTACTTTCCAGCTACTATTGCTAAGTAAGGTCGCATCAAGTTGTTAAAATAAACACCCAAAAGTAACCAGATCAAATATCAATTTGTCTTTTAGAAAAGTTTTATTTAGAATATCATGAATTCAATAAATTTAACAAGTTCCTAGAAAGCAATACAAATTTTATTATTACTTTATAGCGATATTTCTCTTCGTCAGTAATGTTTTGCTTGTTTTTGATTCCCTTTTATAATTTTTACACCTTCAAACATTTTAAATATAATAATATCATTGAAATATGTGACTTGGTCGAGTAGATATAAACGAAGTAAAAAGGTACATCTTCAAGCGCAATCACTGTATTTTCGGTATTCTGGGGCTTTCCAATATGGCGGCCGTACAAAATATTGGCTTCACTTTTGATATTAGAGATGCGCTATCCAGTTATTATAGAGATCAGTGGTAAAATAACGGAAAATTTCTGGAAAATCTGCTGCCGGAAATTTCCGTAGAAAGCGCAAAATTTACTTTACAAAAAAACTCTTCTAAAAATGTATTCCTTAAACGATAAAAAAAAAATTAATAACATAAATATATTCTGCAATTATTAATGACATAAAGTGCTCTAAATATTGCAAAAAAAAAAGTTAAATAAAAATTTATATATATATATATATATATATATATATATATATATATATATATATATATATATATATATATATATATATATATATATATATATATATATATATATATAGATAGATATTATATATATGCTTTTAGAACAAATAACTGTTATCTTTCTTTCTTTTTGCGTTTTTTCTCGCATTCTCTTGATTATAGTCAAACATATCTCTAAACACAAAATAAATTACATAATCATGACATAGATTATAAATTAAAATCTGTGAAATTAAGAAAGATAAGCATATATTGTGAGCCTTCTTTCACTTTTTGCATAAGCTTATTCTTTCTTTTTAAATTTTTTTAAGAAAAAAAATTAAACGAACTCTTTAACTTTTTATTAAAATATAAATATTATTATTACATTTTTATATATATATAAAAATACATTTACTATTTTTCTCTCTACATAGTATCCAGATTCAATACAATGCTTTTTCAGTGCTTCCAGATTCCATATTTATACTTTATGCTTTGTGGATTTTAACTTTTTAAACTTTCCATATTATAGCCAACCATATACCTAACAACACAAATATAAATGCTTTAATACAAATTAGTGAAAATACAAATGAAAATATAAATACAGCAAAATCACGAATACAAATGAAAATATGAATACAGCAAAATTGTAAATCTTTGTCCGGAGTTTAAGACATCCAATTCTTAAAACAAAAAATATATTGCTTGTTTTAAGAAATAAACTTCCTATCCTGCAATTTATTTCTTAAAACAAGAAATATATTTCTTGTTTTAAGAAACAAATTGGGGGATAAGAAATTTATTTCTTAAACAAGATAAATATTTCTTGTTTA